CAGTTGGGCCTGGACAAAATATGTATACATTTAGTTAGAGTAGGGTCTGCACTGTTTGGTGGAAAATTTATTACTTACCAGCTCAACTGGACAATTTTTCCCGGAGTCTTTTTTGCCCATAGGGTCAAAAAGCGCACCCTTTTTGAGCACACGTGAGTAGCAGATGAGCACATTTATTAGAATTTCTTGGTCAATCAACTTCGTTAGAGCGTCTGTGCACCATCGATCAGTAACTGCTAGGGTGTCCTACCATTCCAGCACAAGACTGGTGCAGCCCCGTTTTGACTGATTTAGCTAGGACCACCTTTTTGGCGACGGTTGCGGGCATCCCTTCAAAGACTTTACTGTCTTTTAAGAAAACTGTGAAAAACCGATGAGCATTTTAAATGGTAGTATTCCCTCCATCAAATGCAATGCTGGTTTGGTGGGCGGAGGTTACAGCTCTCAGCAAGAATTTTGATGCATTTGGTACACACATGCGAATTTGCACACTGGACCCAGGAATTTTCAGAAGAAAGTATAAAAATTGGGGGAAAGTTAAATTGTGAACCAACAATAGAAGACGGTAAGCAACATATTTCGCAATATTAATGAGCAAAAACTGCCTTCTGGGATATTGATTTTCCATAGTAATCGGCCCCAAAACTTCCTGAACTCAGAAAAGCGACACTAAGATATCCGGTACCTAATATTTGAGAAAATCGAGTGCATGGCGCAATCCTATATGGAGCTTTTCCAAAGTATCAAAGCACATTCTTATAGTGTCCGACGAGCTGAATTCAAAGATATCTTCGGATTCTCGAAAGCTCAATTTTGAACCGAGTTATAACGAATTCACGAAATTAACGAGGATTCGCGTTATTCGCGTGAATTTTCGATTTCAAACGGCGAGTACTGTACTTAACCTTTTCAAGTCTCTTTTTAGACTTTTGTGTATGGTTCTATTGAAGTGTAGCAGCTACGCATTACTCTCCTCCTAGCGAAGGAGATATTTATTTTACAGAATCTCTTCATTCCTAACGTCAGCATACACTACTTTTGACATTCTTCATGCGATATTTACCGACCAAGGAGCTTCTCTTTAACGACCTCGCGCTCACGCACACTAACAACACGCGCAAATACAGTCGATATCCGAAAGTTGGGGTAGGTGTGGCGTAGGAAGTGACGTGCACTTGATAGAAGTGGCGTAGACAAGCTGTTGCCAGCATGCTTTGATGATATCCAGCGATGTATGTTGGAAGCAGCTAATCCACGTAGCTTCTGTCATGTGCATTTCACTTCTGGTGCCACACCTACCCCAACTATCGGATATCGAGTATAAGTGTTGATATAGCCGCAGGGGTATTATCCTGCTATATATAATCTGTTAAG